AAATCAGGTACGGGGAGATGTTGCTGTACTCCGGTCACGTAGAGTAAAATTCTTCATACACTCAGGGAGTTGCTCTGACGCTTTACAAAAGTGCACGTAAAGCACTCATACGATTGAAATCTCATGGACCCAGGATCATCAAAGCACCTCTCAAATCTAAGAAGGAGGGGATCACAATGTATGCTATCCAGTGTTATGCACCCAACAATGATAGCAATGACGACGATAAAGATCAGTTCTATGAGAGGCTGCAATCGATCATAGCGAAATGCCCAGAAGAGAACCTGACAATCCTGATGGGAGACTTAAACGACAAATTCGGAATGGACAACAACGGTTATGAAGATATCATGAGACGACATGGACTGACTGGGAGAAACGAACGAGAATGGAGATTTGCAAATTTATGTGCATTCAACAAATTGGTCATAGGTGAGGCAATATTCCCCCATAAACACATACAAAAAGCTAAAAAGCTACACGGAGAACCCGACAGATCATATTTGTATCAGTAAAAAATTCACAAGGCCAATAGAAGACGTGGGAACCAGGAAAGGAGCTGGCAAAGCTTTTAATCACTACCAACTGGTGGTTGTCAAGATGAAACTGAAACTAAAGAAGCACTGGGCAACTGGGGAAACAGCATTACAATGGTTTAATAGAGCCTTCCTCCGGCATACTGACAAATTCAACGAATTCAAGATAGATCTCAACAACAAATTTTAGGCCTTACAAGATCTAATGAGAGAAGAAAAAACTACTATGGAGGAAAACTGGAAAGGGATCAAAGAAACATTAACTTCAACGTGTCAGGAGGTTCTGGGCCGCAACAAGTTTCATCATAAGGAATAGATCTCTATCGAAACCCTAGACAATATTCAAGAAAGGAAGGACGAGAGGACAGTAATTAACAACAGCCAAACAGGAACAGAGGATATCAAGGCACAAGCTGAATTCACAGAAGCACTAGAGCCGACAAGCGGAAATACATGGAAAATACAGAGTGTTGGTGAACTGGATGAAGGATTCGGTAGACACCCAACTTCGGGGTCAACAGACCGGATTCCGTAAGGATTGGTCGTGCACAGACCAATTCGCGAAAATAAGGACCACCGTTGAACAATCAATTGAGCGGAACTCGTCGATACACATACTTTCATGAAATTAAGACATCCGTACTGGATATGATATGCCGTATAAAATTCACTAATCGTCGTCAAATAATGTATCCTCTTTCTCCAAGTTAATATGGCACGACGTCATGAGAGTTTCGAACTAACATTTATTGATGATTTATGCCCATTTTATCACTGATTGCAATTAACTCTCGTCCTGACAGTAGGCATCCGTGAACGACAGCATTCAAGTCTGACTGCGTTCACTGAACCAATCAGGTTTTTTACCAAAGTTTCAGGCCCAAAAATCACATTTCGAATTAGAAATCTGACCGACCATCGTCTTACCGCTGATTTTTGCGACATTTTTATACAATTCCTTTTCTTGTTTGTTGTTTGTATTCTTCCATTTGTGTTTAGAACTGTAGATGGTCAGTCTCTCATTGACGTTTATACATTTCGTGCGCCACTTCATCCTATTTAGGACTCGCCACTTGGTCTTACCTGCACCCGAGTTGACGTTCACACCGAGACTCGAACCCAGTGGGAGTCCCAAGTAGGATGAAATACGCGTCCTGGATCCTAGTGCTAGCCAACATCATCTCTGTTTATTATTCTTCAGCGCCTGACAAGGGTATTATTGCTTATGAGTAGCACAACGTGTATTTGCAGGCATCAAGTTAGACGCAGATGTGGCACATATATTTCGTTCATGATGTACCACACACGCTTATTTCGGAGTTCTTCCATGACCGTCAAAACCGAAGAAACCGTAGTTTGGAAGGTAAGCATCAGAAAGAAAGAAGTGTAAAGTTATATCCATCACGTTTTGATATTTAAACACTGATTCGTGAACTTAGCAAATGATGTTCACACTAACAATTTGGATGCTTCATGAACTCGTCAAAAAACAATATTTCAAATTATATGGAATCAGGGGTTAAATTATGTGGAATTACATGGATGAGTTCATGTAAACGATTTGTTATGTCTTTAATGCTAAAGAATCCGCAAGGAACCAAAATAAATCTACAAATCGCGTTAAAGCAATCTGAACGCCATAGTTTCCTGGGCACTTTATAATAAATTAATCATTCACATACAAATGCATATAGTATGAAAAAATGTGTTCTCGGGAGTCACATGGCTTGATTCAATTAACTGGTTGCGCATTTCTATTAAAGGTTTCCAAAGGTTCATCTCTATCGAGTTTTGCATACCACTGTCTGAATAGTTTTAGTCATTCAGTAAATTTACTGAACTCAGTCACGAAGTTACTACGTCCTGAATTCAATATCATTCAGTCGACCGATACTCACAAAACTTTTCCACCATATGTGACCATACAAGAGTATTTGAAATTGGTATGACTAGCTTGCAATTATTTAAAAAAGCACAAATAGTAGAAAAGAACTTAGTAAATAGAATATTAATTCTCAAAACTGTTCAATCCGTACTCTATTTGTTACAAACGTTTCAGGACCTAAGTCACAAAATGTCCAGCAGACACAACTGATGATATTTTTCATTTGAACTGGTCGCGCAATAATGCAAAGAGCGATTATCATCATACTGAAACATCACAATTTGGACTATAACAAGTACGTATTGGGTCAACCAAGCGTTCTAAGTACAAAGTAAGGTTCACATATATTTACCCAGTTTATAGGTAAGGAAATCGAATTACTGAGCCATGTATTAGGATGATTGTACTGTATCTAGTATGAGCATTAAGTATGCCATGGCTGCTAAGTAAATAAATCTTTCTCCTTTGATGAGTTCACAGTGGAGAAAGAAGCTTTTAACCAACGATGATATGACAGAATTGATTGTAGTTGATAAATAAGCTCAACCTTTGCTTGATAGAGGCTTTAATCTGTCTTACATTTAACTGTATTGGCTTAGCTACTTGACATACGCGCATTAAGTTAGGTCTACACATTATTGACTCTTTGAACTGGTTCGCTCTACCTGAAAACCAGGCAATACTGCCGTTCAAGATAAGGGATAAAACTCGGAAAGTATTGTTGTAACTAAATGACAGTAGTGAACAGGGGTTATACGGTCGTCGTAAAGTGGTAGGCGGTCGTTTAAGATCTTTTCGAAGATAGGGATCTGGTGAAAGTTTGAGATAAGAATATATATTCAGCTGTGGTTCGCTTTCAGCCAGTCCAGTTGATAATGGGCTGAATCAGTGGACTATTGTTGATGAGGTTGTTGATAGTTCTCAGAAGTGGGAAACTGATTACCACCTAAAATGATGTGCGCATGTGTACCAAAAACTAATTTTTATTCTGTAGTCACGTCTTGTCAATTTTCAAATATATTCCAATATCCTGTTGCATATAATCTAGCAGAAGAAACGGTGGCTTGCTGAAATACCAGCAACAACGCCGTTGCTCTTATAGCGGTAAATAAATCCCTAAAATAAATAGCTCTGTAAGTTCTCGACATTGGATGCTGACCACATTAGTTTTAATGAACTCACCTAGCTGAAGGCTCTCGGTCATGCATCCGAACCAGATCACGAGTGGGAACGCCGTGCTCAACAACCCCTGCAATCGCTAGCCAGGTTAGATCAGACGATCCTCGATACATTGATAGACTATCAAATATATCTTCGAACCTCCTCGCTCCTGTCGTTTGATTTCACTTGGTGGGTACGATTCATATTAGAAGGTGTTACTGTTTAAAGCGTTGTCAAACTCCGAACACCTGTGGCATCTTCACTCTTAAACAAACAAGGAAATAAGCTGCGCGTCAGTGAATTAGTGGTGTATATATTTTCAACGTTCAACCTGCGTGTGGTATCAAGTATCCTTGGACATTTCATCGTTCATTCGTCAGATGACCACTAAGTGTAAGAGCATAAGTCCTACCGAAAATTTCATCTCAATCTGTAACTTTAATCGCTTTTTTCACCAAGCAAGTTGAGGTGACGTGCAGTGACTACTTCATAGAAACATAAAAATGGCTTTAAATGAATAAAATGAAATCCTCAGTAAAAAATAACTTTTTATGCAGCAATAATCCAATTAATGAACATGAAATTGCTCGACAATGACAGATGTTATACATTCAATGAATGATGGAAATAACAGTTATTCTCATACCAGATAAGCCCACCTACTGTCTGCTTTGCCTATTTTCATTGACTTTTAAAATTCATTTGGACTACTGAGGACAGGTTTATGTCGAAAGTCGTGTAGTCCCTGATACCACAGCTTAATATCAAGGCTTGTGGGCAAAGAAATAAGTTTGTTCATACTAGACTGTGACGAAAGTAGTGAACGAAATGACAATTTCGTTATAGCTGTAGCGTACTAAAAATTGATCAGGAGGCATGAGTTTATTATTTTAGGTTGTCAAGTTCATTAAAACTCCATCAAATCCGGAATACTTTTCAAGTATCTATTTTGAGGAATTATCCATCTCTACCCTAATCCTTTAGAAATGCATTTCTCATCTAATGTACGTGCATCATGGAACACATTTTTCTATTATTTTAAGTTACGGTCATTTTTATTTCCTCACTTTTTAACGTGAGCACAACAAGTCCAAGGCATATATTCACCAACATCTCGATAACTCATAGTTACATGAATAGCAGCCTTAGTCGAATACAGAATTCAGCATTTCAGTAACCTAGAAAATGGTCTAGAATGATGTATATTCACTCTTCAACCGTAAATATGAGAGAAATTTTACTTGTGGGGCTAAATGACTTTCCTTATCCTATCAATTTGAAATTTACATCATCTAATCCGTTATTAAACCTTCCCGCTACCCTCAAACTATCAACTCGAATTAAAAGTGATATATTTACCCATCCAATCATTGAATGCCTATTTAATACGATAAACATGTCAGAAAAGTATATGGAGAGTTTGTACTACTACAAAGCACACAGTTTGTTTTAATGTAGCGATTCTGAGGTCGACTTGCCAGGAATCAGCTGTATTCTGTAGTTTTCGTTTCCTTTTTAGACTAGCGAATCGCCAAGATGGGTCGGATTTTCATAGAACATATGGGTGGGCATAGGATTATACACTGTCAGTATTGTGAAACTCCATTGACAAATAGAAGTGAGATACTTAGCACTCGCTTTACAGGTGCTACTGGCCGCGCATTCTTATTTAATCGCGTTGTTAACATAGTTCACAGTGATATACAAGTACGATTGGTTTTGAGCAACTCCGATTAACGATTGTGTTCGTTTCAGGACCGTGTTATGTTGACTGGGCGTCACTTAGTAAGAGATGTTGTGTGCATCAAGTGCAATACCAAGTTGGGTTGGATGTACGAACACGCTATGGAGGAGAGTCAGCGGTACAAGGAAGGCAAAGTGATATTAGAAAGAGCACTTATAATGGAAACAGAAGGTCTTGCCGACCCACTTGGAGAAGAGCAGTAATCGTATGACTGAGCTAGTTATTGTGATACGTTATGTACATACATATTATCATATACCATATTACTCTTCGTTTGACGTTAAATGTCATAGTTTTTCTTGAATGAACAGACGTTTTTTCTGGTTAAACCTATCTTTTTACTTACTATTTGATTTGTAAGCACAATTTTACAATGACTGCTGGCTTGTACTCAGTCTATTAATGTAACACCGTATCCGTTACTTTGTGTATCCAGAACCAGGAAATAAACTATGACGTTTTGTAGTGCTTAACAAACCAAATTTGAAAACATGTTTGAACATCTTAAAATTATAGCTTCCCGTGGTTCTCATTCAGCAACGCTAGATATATTCCAAGTAACAGAAGGTATTGCTGCTGGTCCATCTGCATCATCAAGTAGATTAACAAGCCCCTTTTGAATACGGCCTCTGGTCTTCCATCACTGGTAAATGTGGAATTTTCTATCACCAACCTTTTATAGGACAACTGGAGCATAATTTCTTGTAGTATCGGGATGAGGCGCTTGTTATATGGGTATCCTCAATCTTAAGAATTTATACAAATGATGAAAGGCATGTTCTCAACCTCATAATCACGACTTTACCCTGATTTCATGTGTCTTGTCTATAGAACATGGTCTGATAATCTTCGCTCGTTAGATGTATTGGTATGTGTAAATCTATATGGTTTAGCACAGCATGTGGGGCTGTATGTACTCACAATTTTGTAAGTATGACTTGGTTCCCACAGTATTCTGCAAGGAACTGGGTCTTGAATTCATATTGGGATTACTGACTTCTGTGTACCGAGTAAACATAATTCATTCTAAACGAAAATCTTTGATGTTAAGTATATGCACATTACTCCACTTCACAGTAGCCAGATTTATTCGGCAGTCCTCATTTGTTATGTACTCATTCATGTTTCACCTTGGGCGTATCTGTGGCAATCATTCTTATTTGATGAAAAGGAATTGTAGGTCTGTTGTGTTCCTTAATTCTTTTAGGAGTGCTTGCTTATTAGATATCAAAAATATACTATATAATGATTTTTTTACTCCTGAATCTCATATAAAGATCTTAGATTATGTACAGCTAAGAAAGGCTAGGTACATATCCAGGTTCTCCAATATAAATGATTTTAGCCTGTTGGGTGTGTTTCTATGTACGCAGAGGCTCATAGTGTGGCATCATATTCCTTTAAAAACAAAAGCCACTTATAACTAACTGGATCAAAGTACCTGATACCACTTTGTAACATTTTTGCTTGGTAAAAAGGAGTGAAAAAAAGGTCTCGAATACAGAAAGCCCTTGTGTTTTGAAAAGGTTCATTTGACATTTTGTGAACATCAATCCCATAAACGTCATCATATGACATACGTTAATTAGCTTGTACAATAATACGGAACTTCCTAATTACAATGAAGGCGTAAAAGCTTGGAATATACATACTAAAACAATTTAACCGTAAATAATTGCCCACTTTTGTGCAAAACAGTACACAGATACTTCGTCTTACTTTGAAGTGTTTGATCCGCTTACACCAAACAAGTTAGTACTCGTGAGAGAAGTAGTGAAGTCGCTGCAATTGTTCTGTCCCAAACGATGTAAGTCACTTAGTCTTAAATTATATCTGTAAATTATGGGTACAGACAGTTTAAAGCAACTTAACTAGGTAATATTCCTAGCTATAGGATGAGATTTCTATATTAGCGAAGAGTTGTTTTCACATTAGCGGTTCTTGATTATCAAGCAATAGTGAACATCAACCCCTAAATGCTTAATCTAAATCCTGTACCCAAACTTCACTAATCAAGAGAATGATTACAACGTTCACTGGATAACATAATCAAATTCCCAGGCCAGCTGATACTTAGTCACTAATAATAGATATCTAAATTATATCCCGTACTGTTTTACTTGTTTAATAGTTGATAATTTCGTGATGATATATAAACATGATGATACAATAGAGTGGTTATAATATTAGGTTAGTGTGAATGATAACGATTAAAGATCGTATATGTGCAAATCAAAAGCCTTGTTAGATTAAAGTTAGCAACGGATTGTAATATGGTCGTAGTAAGATAATTAAAATGTTGTTATTACGAATTATTTGAAAAGTGATGTGATGGGAAGAGAAATCAAGATTCGATTGATTTACTTATTATGAGTTTTGTTCAACATTACTTCCGTTTTGACTCAGTATGGTGATTATTCGATGTAGTAATTGTTTACTTTTCTCGTATGATATTTTATTCTGTATAATATACGATATACTTGTATTCAATTGACATGAACTATGCTCAGTATATATGTTATAACTAAGTACTTTCCATATATGCGATTTCATCCTAATTATTATTCAAATTGTATGCACAATCAATATATAAATGAGTGGACTTTTCGACTAAGGTCGTCGTGTTTTGGGGTCAATAAATCTACACCTATACCAGTCTTTGCGTCCTTACTTTCGCGTCGTGGGAATTGCCGAGTTCCCTCGTTCCGAGTATAAGTGATAAGCGATTCCGAACCAACAATCAGCGACGACCAGATATAACAAGTAGCATTCAATTGATAAGTTATAACAAAAAGTGACCCCTTCTCTGAACTTCGTGTTTTTAATGCTTTATTGAGAATTAAATGTCTATTGAAGAAATGTAAGGATCCTAAGACGATAGAACTCAGTGAGCTTTTACGTCACACCACCAAACTTGCGTTAGTGAAGTAGTGAGTTTCATCACCGTTTGTGGAAGGAGACTAAGGCGAAAATCCTCGAACATCATACACTTAGTCGTATCGATGCTATTAAATCCCGACTGGTTGGAATAGAATGCAACATATCTTTAATAAGTCACTCATCATATGGATCGTTAGATGAACGTAAACAATTTGGGGATTGTTTTTACTGTCACTGAAGAGCAATCCCACATTGCTAAACTCAAATACTTAAAACATGTAGATGTAAATGACAATTTTCAAAGAAATCCCGGGAAATACATGTTTAATCACACTTTCGTCAAACCAAGTGCAGGTCTTATCAGTGGGCTCCAAATTCTGTAAAAACCAGTAGACCTCATACGCAAATACAACTCGAAAACCTAGTAAGTCGAACTTATGATCTCATTCCAACATCACAATAATTTCACAACCATGGTACTTGGTTGCTGTCATGGATGCATTAATACAAAATGGTCATACTGACTTATTAACCAAAATTTATATAGATCAGCAGATCCTCCTGTAAAGAAATAAGGACTGAGTCCTAAGTAGACCTGAAAAAGGATCCTCAAGATTACTTAAACAAGATGCTTTTAATCCTAAAGAATGGTACTAAACTTTCAAGACTTACGAATTGAAAAACAGCTAACTGATGTTAAAATTTTGAATATGAAAATAATAACCCAGAACTTGTATAATCACGTATGTCCAATGGGTCCGATCACCCCGCGCTTATGTGAATTGCCGAAAGTAAATAAACCCGGATTACTGTTACGACCTATTTTGGATACGTCTAATTTAAATTAACACCCAGTCGCTGGCTGAAAAATTGGAAGCGGTTATAAGGCAAGAACTTAAGTATTCTGTTCATGATACTTTACAATTTATTGACAGTATTAAGAATGCTAACTAACTTGCATTCTCCAGGAAAACTTTGGCTGAAAACGGATATACAAGTCGCTTTATACAGATTATAAAATTAAATCCGAACAAAGGATCCGGCAATCCCGTGTCAAAGAAATATCTTTATGTGAATCTGCAATTTAAAGGTGACCAAACTTCTGGTGTAATTAAAAATCGGTTAGCGGCAGTGATAAAAAGAACGTCCTGAGCAGCAAAGCTGCGACTAACGTTCACTAGTTTTCTGTATCCGTGAAGTATAAGCTTCCTCGTTTGATCACCTGTATGTACATCTACCAGTTCATCTGTTGTCGTGGAGAAAGGTACACACGCCACAGCCAGCGCCTTCTTCCAACGCGGATACGAGAACATATCCTAATGTGGTTCTACAATCGTGAGAGGGAAGCAACTATGAGTTGCATAACTGAACATCTAACCGAACACATTCACTCTACTGATCCATATGTTGATCTTAAGGTTGTTTATACTATGTCCAAACTACCCAAATTTCGTATCCAACTCCCTGAAACGCTAACTCTTGCCATCCGTGAGGACTTCCAGAACTGTGCGTACAAAAGTACGTCTTATCTTTATCGTGAACTTAACCACCATTATTATAATTCGTATTTGAAAATATCCCATTGTCTTTAATTATTTCTCATATTCTCATGATTTCATTCATATTTTTTTCTGAAATCATTTGATTTGACCCATCTATAACTTTGAGATACTGTAACGGAAACATTTTAGTCAACTAACTGAAACCACATTATAATCCGCTGCTAACCTATTAATTTGACAAGGCTTTTTATTTGCACACATATGATCTACACGACATAATCTAATATGATGACATTTCTATTGGGTTGTTTATTAATATTTATTAAGCTATCTACATCTATAATGCACATGAACATACCGCACAACTACCCATTAACACCAAGCGAAGCGACCACGAGTATACATCCCACAAAGGTGACACCGATCAACAATAAACTGACTTCAATGTTGATTTAGGGCCAATATACCAAACACCATACTGAAACTACGAAACAGTGAAATGTAACTATATCACACTGTTCGGAAAGCTGAGGAAACGATGTCTTTAAATATTGAATCAAGTGCACTTGATAACTAATGTGCTGCGTGTACGGAAATTCACTAAGCATATAACATCTTCGGTACCACTCACTGTCATCATCAATGAGCTAAGGAAAAGATCTGTTCAGAAAGGAGCAAAAGTAATCATATTAAGCAAATAGAATTATACAATAAAAGCCTACGCCGGCGAATACGAGACAATACGTGACCACCAAGAAGTACGTAAATAAACACATGTTTTCATAGATTCAGATCTCGATGCTGCCGCACTCTCCATCTGTTAAGAACAGGTGAAAACAAACTAAGAGTATTTGATTTTCATTATTGAGTGGACTAGCCTGTATTCCTCTAATTAATCCTCATAGCTCTCTGAACTCACCAATGTTAAGTTTATCTGTCCAAAACAAATCAACTGAACATGAATTACACAACTTTGTAGTACAAATACTCCCGCTGTTCATCTACCAAAATTTCCAGGCTATGCCCTAGTAGTTTATCGATATAATCATGTTGGTCTAACTGGAGGTTTGGGAAGCCATTATGTAATGGATAGAGTTCACAAAAACACTCAAAAAAGTGTAGCTAGGGTTAGATTCCATGATAAATTACTGAGACATTAACAATAGCTAAG